CCAGGCTCCCATCTCGCCCATTGATTCCCAACCTCCCTGTCTCCCCCAGCCTCTCCTAATTCCCAAATTCCCCGATTCCCAGGCTCCCAGCTCCCCCATTGATTCCCAAATTCCCCGATTCCCAGGCTCCCATCTCCCCCATTGATTCCCAACCTCCCTGTCTCTCCCAGCCTCTCCTAACTCCCAAATTCCCCGATTCCCAGGCTCCCAGCTCCCGTGTTTCCACGGCTCCTCGACCATCCGGAACCTGAAGGAGCGTTTCCACATGAACATGACGGAGGAGCAGCTGCAGCTGCTGGTGGAGCAGATGGTGGACGGGAGCATGAGATCCATCACCACCAAGCTCTACGACGGCTTCCAGTACCTCACCAACGGCATCATGTGACCGCATTCCCAAAAAAAACCATCCCGGATCCCGCCCCGCCCTCGGGAAAGGAGGAGCTTCCAGCGGGAGCGGCGGCTTTTCTCCTCCCCGGGGGTGGGACCGACCCCGAGGACCCGCAGGAAAAAAAAGAACCCACGGGAGAAAAACGAAATGGAAAAGGAAAAAGAAAAAAAAAAAACAGGAAAAACCAGGAAAAGCAGGAAAAAAAAAAACCCCACAAACAAACACAAACAAACAAAAGTATCCCGACCCCTTCCCCCCCCCCCCGCGGGTGGAAATCATGGAATTGTGTGGAAAACGGGGCTGGGGGAGGAAGGAAAGGGGGGGATACTCAGCCCCCCCTCCCCCCCCTCCGGGGGGAACCCCTCAGGGGGGGTCCTGGAGCCCCCCCCAGAATCCATGGAATGTTTGGGATGGGAAGGGGGGGGGCAGCAGAGCCGGATCCCGACGGTCCCTTCCCTGCAGGGATCCCCCCCCGGGATGGGCAGGAACGGCCGGGGGGGGGTCCTGGAGATTCCACGGGGGGTCCTGGAGAGTCCAGGAGGGTCCTGGAGGGTCCTGGAGAGCCCTGGGGGGGTCCTGGAGAGTCCAGGAGGGTCCTGGAGGGTCCTGGAGATTCCAGGGGGGATCCTGGAGAGTCCTGGGGGGGGTCCTGGAGGGTCCTGAAAATTCCAGGGGGGATCCTGCAGGGTCCAGGGGGGATCCTGGAGGGTCCTGGAGATTCCAGGGGGGGTCCTGGAGATTCCAGGGGGGATCCTGGAGCTGCTGCCTCCTCCTCCTCCTCCTCCTCCTTTTTCCCTGCTCCAGGAATTTGGGATTTGGGACTGGGACGCTCCTTCCCTGCCCCCATTCCCGGGGATTTCGGGGGGGGGGATCCCGGGGGTGTCTCCCCAGGATGGGGTTGGGAGGGGGGAGGACCCGGAGCCTTCCCGACCCCCCCGGGAAGGGAAAACACCCCCAAAATTCCCTCCCCCAGGCTCGGGGGGGGGATTCTCCTCCCCCCTCTCGTGTGTCCGACCCCTCTCTTGGCTTTAAGAGCAGTGACCCCCCC